TGACGGATGTAAAATACGTTTTGGTTTGTGTTTTTACCCTGGTGGCTCCCAGGGTCATTGTGAACGTCCCCTCAGGTGGGTGTTCCTGCTGGTTTCTGTTCCATGTGTTCTCGCTGTATGCCAGGGAGCTGGTCCAGCTGGGGGAAAAAAAGGTGTTTTTTTGGGAGAAAAAGTGGAGGCACAGTTTTCAGTCCTTTATTAAAATGGAGGAGTATTTCAGAATCACAGAATCATCGAGGTTGGAAAACTCTCCTGATATCGAGTCCAACCTGTGACCCATCCCCACCTTGTCAACCAGACCAGAGCGCTGAGTGCCACGTCCAGTCGTTCCTTCAACACCTCCAGGGATGGTGAATCCACCAGCTCCCTGGGCAGCCCCTTCCAATGCCTGGCAGCACTTTTCATGAAGAAAATCTCAGGTTGGCACAGGCCTTGGAGGCCACTTGACAGAGCCAGGCTCTGCTCAGGGCCGTGGGGAGAAGCGGTTTCCCAGCACGGCTCAGACAGGAGCATTGGCATCTCCCCGGGGCAGGGAGAAGCCAGGGGAGGGTTGGCTTAGCGCAGCTGCCAAATGTGTCACCTAAGAAGTGCTCAACACACCTCGTGCTGGGTGCAGGGAGCTGGGGCAGACACGCTCCTCAGGGCTGGCACTGCTCCAGGAAATCAGGTGGAAGTGCCTACGGGAGAAAACAGTTATTTGCTCATCAAGGAGAGGGCTGATGGGTGTGGGTTGGCTTGTCTAGTAGCTTATCATTATTCCTGCTGATTAATAAGCTGATACTAAGTTATAGGAATCTGCAACAGCATCGGGCAAAAGTCAGGATTTCAAAGTGGGGTGCATTTAAAGTGAAGCATAAGTCAATATAAGTGGTTCTCTTCAGAGTTGACAGCAACTTTAATTTGCTTCCAAAAGGCCAGGGATATGGAAGGAGAAGAGTCAGGAGTGTTGTGATGGGAATGAGTGTAACCCTTTTTGTGGGCAGGCTGGTGCCTTGCTGGAATACTGTCAAGTTTAGTAGCAATACACATTTCTAGATATTTATTTATTTTAACATTTGGCTTGCAAAGGTTATGATTTCATAGTTCTGGAAAAAATCAGTCCTGTCACCTTTTAAAAAAAAAATATTGATTTTCTTTCTGTCATTAGCCTAAATAGCTGCCTTTTTAATAATCTCGGAGAAACCATAGTAACAACAAAACTGAGATCTGGTGAGGGTTGTCTTCACTCTAGAATTCCTCTGTGGGATTTTTGTGCAGTTCTGTCCAGTGTGCCAGAACGTAAAATAAGAACTGGAACACAGTAAACATTGATGATAAATGGCTAACTTAACACATTACTGTGATATATTGCTAAGGCCAAGCTTGTAGAAATGCTGATTTAAAGTAAAAATATTTACATGCAGACTAAGGACTTGGGGAAGGGGAATTTCAAGATCCAAAACTGTGTCAGCAGCCCATATGCTGAGTTTAGGAAATTTGGAAGAATTAACCAGTATATTTATTGGAAATGCTTTATTCAAAGTTTACATGGAAATATTTCCAAACAGTTTGAACTTTTGTGCTGCTGTGCTGTGGGTATTTACACGGGATATGTCTCACTCAGGGGGAAGTGGCAGCCAGAGGTGATGTCCTGCTCAGTGCCAGGCTTCTGATGCTGGTTTTTGGAAAATAAATATCTCTGGGTGTTCTGTCAGGCAGCTTTCTGTTGTTTTAGCAATCACAGCCAAACTGTTTTTAATAACTGTATGCATGGCTGTAAAGACTGTCATATTGCCACAAATATCAGAATCTTGCTTTAAAAGCTAAAATCCATCAGTGAATCAAGGAAAGAATGACCTCACAGCCTCTGCTGAACAGACTGAAGTCAAACACTGCTTTAAGCAGGTTTTCCAGATTATGAAGCCTCAGGAGTGGCCCAAAGGGGAATTCCTAGGAGCTGAGACTGTACCTGGAGCTGCACAGGGCAGGTGGGACACGGGAGGCCAGGGCAGCACAGCACTGCTGGCCCTGCAAGGCCTCATGAGTCATTCTTCCTGTCACATGAACCCTCCCTGCTCTGCTAAGAGGCACTTAGTTGAATTTTAGATGCCTGGAATCATTAAAACGGCTGGAAGGCATTTGTGTACCTTGTCCATTAGAAGAAAAATCTGTTTTTTATAACTGTAACCTCCTACAGCCTCGAGCTCAGCTTTAGAAAGTAGCTGCATTTTTTTGTGTCATTACCTGAATAGTGATGTTTGAAGCCAGCAGTGAATTCAGTTGCTTTCTCCCACATGACATTGGTGGAAGAACATGTATTTTTACTATTGAAAGAAGAACCAGTGGTAGGAGTTAATATTCCACTCAGTTATCTGTGTCCTCTTTTGTTTCATCTCTTCCAGTGTTGTCACATGTAGTGCTTTCCTTCCCCCTCCTTGGTGACTGTGCTCTCAAGCTGTACATGTCTTCTTTCTTACAGACATGAGGGGTTTAATTTCTGCCACCCCCTCACCTGGAGAGCAGGTAACACAGGGCATGTGGTATTCAGAGTGTCCCAGGTGTGCCAGAGCCTTTCCTCCTCTCTAAACAGACTGGGTCTTGCATAGGCAGAAGGAAAAAAGGCGAGAAGTGTGGGATTTTCATGGATAGGCTGACAATAAGCATAGTGGAACATTTTCTGTAAATTCATGGACTGCAAAGCTGGAAGAGTCACAGAATGGTTTGAGTTGGAAGGGACCTTAAAGCTCATCTTGTTCCACCCCCTGCCATGGGCAGGGACACCTTCCACTATCCCAGGTTGCTCTAAGCCCCATCCAACCTGGCCTTGAACACTTCCAGGGATGGGGCACTCAGAGCTTCTCTGGGGAGAGACTGAACAAAGTAGTTTGACTGTGTGTTTCTCTGTCCCTTTGGTTGCCCCTCGTGCTCTGTGCAGGCTGGTTTTGGATTTCTGCAGTAGTGCTGTCTCTTTTTTAAATTTTTAAAGCATATTTTAATAGACAATTACTTCACAAGTTGGTTTGCATTTTCTTCTAATGGCTGAGTGCCATGGGTTTATAAAATACGGCATTTTTGTTTCCTGGAAAGGGCTCACGCTGAGTGAGCTGGTTTGAGAAGACAAAGATTCCTTGCTGTGGTGGGAGTTCCTGCAGCTTCTCCTGTCACTGCTTCATGCCCTGGGGCTCATTAAAGCTGCAGGTGAGGCAGGTCCTGCCACCTCCACACCCATGGCCTCACTGCCAGGGCACAGGGAGGGATTATTTGCTGTGGTTCACATCTGGCCAGGGACCAGTGTTTCGGATGTCTCCCGCTGGCAGCCACAGCTGCTCCTGGCGTAACACGGATTAAATTTTCATCCGGATCACTGAATTTCTCCTTCTTCAAGGAAGTGGCTCAGCTTTGTGTCATGTGAGGAGTTCTTATCCAGAAAGCTTGGGGCTGATCAGTGCCCTTATTTTTTCCTACCTCTTCTGTTTGGAAAATGTGAATGGGGAGAGGCTGGTGGCTTGTTGTCAGACGAGCAGGGTGAGCTCCAGCTGATGGTGAATCAGAGTGCAGGGCTGTGGTGCTCTGTTGATTTGATACAGCTGGACAATGCTCCTGATTTTTTTTCCAGCACTTCCCAGCGTTGTTTCCTCCCCTTTTCCCCTTTCAGGCAACCTCTTGGACCTGCCAGGAGAATCACTCGTGTTGTCACCTGCTAAGCCCAGTCAAGACTTTCACAGAGGATGTGGATATGGTTTGATCTGGAACAGGCTATAGATTATAGACTTTCACTGGCAGAGGTTGCCCAGAGAAGTGTGCCTGCCCCATCCCTGGAGGTGTTCAAGGCCAGGGCAGACAGGGCTTGGAGCAACCTGCTCTAGTGGATGCTGTCCCTGCCCATGGCAGGGGGTGGAATGAGATGAGCTTTAAGGTCCCTTCCAACCCAAACAATCCTGGGATTCTGTAACCTTTGATCTTAGGCAGCAAAAGAATAGAAACCCAAAACACAGTTGTATATCCAAAGTCTGCCTTTAGAAGTGTGAGCTGCTTGAGTTTTTTTCCCCTGATAAGACGTACAAGTGAAATAAGAACATAGCCCCACTCCCTCAACCCCTGAGTTAGGTCTGGAAGGACTTGAATGGCAACATATCTTTCCAAAGGAAAGAAGGCAAAATGTCATGGATGGCTTCAGGAGCATTGGCTGGATGTGCAGGAGGGAAAGCTCAAGAAGATGTTGTTCAGTGGTGATTGCAAACAAGGGCAGTACCTCCTGCTCAGGGCAGTGGTTCAGTCCCAAGATGCTTTTTTGAGGTGAGTTGTTGTTCTGCAGACAACCTCAGCAACTTTGCTGCTGAGATGATGGGAAATGGAAAGAAGTTAAAAACGAGATGGCAGCTGTAGCCTCATTTCTGGTGTGTTCTGCTTTGAATTGTTGGCCTGGTACTGCTGCTTCCCTGATCAAAGCCGGCCTGGCACACCTGCCTCGTGCAAGTGACACTGTACCCGTGATAGCTCTGTGGTTATTTATACAGAGCCTGTGGGAAGCACAGTGCACAAAATAAACCATCTTCTTTTCAGTCATGCAGTGTGAAAGGTTGAAAGGAAATGGCAAGCTTCATACTTACGTGCATCATTATGTAATGTATCCATGGAAAAACACTTCCTTAGCAAAGCCACAGGCAGCAATGGAGTCTTTTGTTGGGTATCTCACAGTATTTCTTTGACTAAAACACACGCAACTGCAGCTCCTAAGCAGTGGGAGCTGAGGAAGTGCCAGGGAAATGGAAAGGTACTGGAAAGCTGTGTGCTGTGCTTTGTTGGAGTCCAGGTGTGTGAGGAGAGGATTTAAAAACACATTAAAACCGAGATGGCACATTGATCATTCAAGTGGGAGTGCTTCGGAGGGAGGCCGAGCAGCTGCTCAGTGTCCCGTGGTGCTGCAGAACAGTCTCCTTCCAGAAGAGTCTGTTGTGTGCAATTAAAGCTGCAGGGGTGATGTGTCAGCACTCAAGGACCCCCCTTAACCTCCTGTGTGTGGGTCTGTTCAGCTGCAGAATGAAGAGGAGCCAGGTGAGACTGCGCCGGTGGTGAGCGATGCCCCTCCGCCCTACAGCAGCATTTCTGCGGAGAACACAGGTAATTTACCTGCCAGGAAAGGGCTGGGCTTGCTCTGCTGTTGTTCATTGCTCTCCTTGTCGATGGCTGGCACTTCCCAAGCTGCAGGGATCAGAATTGATCCAGAGAGCCTTGTTGGTACTTGTGGTTTAGGAGATGCATTTTGGCTGTGTTCGTCTGATGTCATCCCATCAAGTGGTGTTAAAGTTACAGTTCACAGTGTTCTCAGTAAATTGAAGACAGTTAAAAATCAAAGTGCTATGAGGATTTGTGGTTCTCCTCTCATTATTTGGCATTTGGATGATACTGTGTCCCTTCCCAAAAGGACTTGTTACTTAAAAGCATTTAAAGAATTCACTCTTCCTGCACTTTTCACTAACTAAAGACTTGGTCATAAGAATTGTACTTCTGATTCATCCTCCTGTCATGTCACTAATAACTTCAATAACCACTTAGTAACTACTTGGATCTGGAAATACAACTATTTCTGAGTATCCAAATCAGGAGAGACACAGCAAGTGGTGTTGTTTTAAACATAAGTACAGCCAGGCATGTTCAGGTAGTGTTCTGTGGATTGCTTGACATCAGATAAGGTGCTCCCGTCCTTTTCACTTAATGTTTTAGGATGGAAAGAGGCTGGAAGGGTGGGGAGGGGACAGGAAAGGCATTGAGTTGTTTGAAGTCACCTGGAACACTTCTCGTTCCCACCATGGTGTTTTTAAGGAACTGACAAGTTGCCTTCTCTGTAACTGTTTTTTGTGCAGCTTATTTTGACTACAAGGATGAGTCAGGATTCCCGAAGCCACCATCCTACAACGTGGCCACCACACTGCCCAGTTACGACGAGGCAGAGAGAACCAAGGCTGAGGCCACCATTCCCTTGGTTCCTGGGAGGGTGAGTGCACCTGCCTGCCTGGGTGTCCCAGCTTTTCTAGGGTAGAATTTCTTGTTTAACTCCTGCCCATCACATGCTATGACTTTTTTCTTTTGTGTTGAGGGGTTTTTTGTGTGTTTTTTAAGCTTTCTGGGGCAGTGATATTACACACTCCTGAGAGCTCTGTGGCTGTTTTTTTTTCTTTTTAATTTTCCTCTGAGCGCTGTGATGATGTCAGACATCTCAGTAATACCAGCATGTGCTATCCAGATTAGCTTGGCAAGCTGACAGAGGGACTGTACTGTAGTCCTATGCTCTGTCACTGGTTTTTGGGTTTTGGTTTTCTGTTTTTAAAAAGATTTAGGATTAATTCTTCAGCTGTCTGGCATATCTACCCTTGATACTCCTGCTGTTGACTTAGTTGACTTTTCTGGAGGTCAGTGTAGCTGATACAAGGATAATAAAACCATTCTGTCAGAATTATTTCTTTTTGCTTTTTCAACATTATCTCTTGTTCAGCCCTTTTGTCCATCCCTGGTAGCATTAGATGTCCACTGCTCATTGTACTTCTTCATAGAAGCCAAACTCCTTGCTGAGATGATAATTTTTTGATGAGTAGAGGAATTCTTTACAGTGAGAAGGACATGCTGGATCTTGACTATGTTAAAAATAAATTTCATATTATGTAGATAACATTTCATGCCCTGCATCATCTGAGGATGAGAAGCAGGAATTTTTTCCTGCTTGCATTTGTAGCCTTTTAGATTTAGGATTCCAACCCTTTCTTGAAGAGCCACATGCAGAACTGGGATTGCTGTATGGGCTGGACTGACTTAAATCCCCCCATGTGGTGTTTCCCTCTGGTTTGCAGGATGATGACTTTGTGACACGGGATGACTTTGATGACACTGACCAGCTGAGGATAGGAAATGATGGCATTTTCATGCTCACCTTCTTCAGTAAGTACATGATGGAATGAAGTTGTTTTGAAACAGTGACACAAAATAGTTTGGGTCACACTTATGTTTATGTAGCACCAGGAAAAAACTGTGTGCAAGGTGCTTATGATTTTTTTTTCTCTTGGAATATAAGAGTGGCTTGACCTGCTGCTTTTCTCCTGCTTTTTCAGTGGCATTCCTCTTCAACTGGATTGGATTTTTCTTGTCTTTCTGTCTGACTACTTCAGCTGCAGGACGATATGGGGCCATTTCTGGGTTTGGTTTGTCTCTTATTAAGTGGATCCTTATTGTCAGGGTAAGTTGTGTGGTGCAAAACAATGTGCACAGACACTGATATTCTTTTCAGCCAGCTTGTTTTTATCTCCCTTATGTTGAAGTTAGTGATAAATTTAGTTTTCAAAAATGAAATAATTTTTGAGCCACTTATTCACTAAGAACACAGCTTTTTCATAACTCTGTCCTGTTTCTGTGCTGAAAGTATTATTGTAGTAAAAGAAAATACAGATTGCACACTCAGGTATGTGTTGTGGATGCTCCATCCCTGGAAGTGTTTAAGGTCAGGCTGAAGAGGGCTTGGAGTGACCTGATCTAGTGGAAGGTGTCCCTGCCCGTGGCAGGGAGGTGGGAAGAGATGAGCTTTAAGGCTCCTACCAACCCAAACCATTCTGAGGTTTGTTCTAAATGTGGCTTTCTCTGACAGAGCTGCTGTATTGGATGTGGTTGTGTGTTGAGCAGCAGCAATGATCTGATCTGTGTAAGACCTTTACCCAGGTAAAGCCAGCCCTGCCATCAGCACAGGGATGTGCCTCTCTAGTCTCATTTCCTTAGGCTTTCCTGTGGAAATAAATGAATTCCCTAAAATGTGGGATAGCTGATGAGGAGAGTCGCAGTGGGAGAAGCCCTCTGGTGCCCTCTGGTGCAGAGTCCCTGTGGCACAAGAGGAGGGAACCAGGACGAAGCTGCTGTTCTGTTCAACTGTGTATTTTTGGAGGGATTATGAGAAAATATTTCCATCAGGAAGTTACTTGGAGTCCGTGAAATGATGGCACACAGACATCCCATGCTGAATTTCAGGCAAAGAATGTTGTTAGCTGTGCATAAGTAGAAGTAGAGAGCATTAGTGTTAGGCTGTCACTTCATACCTCATGTTTTGGGGCTGGGAATTCTAATTTGTAAATACAGCATCTGTTAACTTTTTCTGTAGACAGTGAAGCTTTTCGGGGCCATCTTTTAACAGTGGTGTTAAGAACTGTTTGCCTGATTAAGAGATGTGACAGAAAGATTTGATAACTCTGGATTTGATTTAAACTTTGATAACAAGTTTACATTTTGTTAGGTTCTTAGACTTGAATAGAATAATAAAAAAGAAATGATACTGTATTTTCCACTGGCACAGTGAACTTCAGTGCTCTAATAGTGTTGGTGCCTTTCATTCAATAGGCAGTAATTTTCCCAATGGAAAATCATGTTAGAGGGTTCCACAGATCTGGGATTTCATTTTCAATGGCTATACCATCCAACCTTACAGTGTAATGAACATGGTGCACTGCTGCAAGCCTGGTCTTCCCTTTCAGAAATTGCAGCTGTGGTTTATGAGCATCAAGGACACAAGTTAAAATATTCCTATATTTGCCCAGTAGTGCCCTTGTGCTCCACTGATTGCCAGAGTTTATGGCTGAGTATTGAATCTGTCCCATTCCCCTTGTTAGAGTTGGTGTGATGTGTATAGAAAACCAATAAATAACAGTTTGTGGAGGTAACTTGTTCCCTGCAGTGTGTGCAGTTGGTGAAGTGCAGCATTCCATGCGGTCTCCTGTGTGCAGTGTTGGTCTGGTTATTGCTGAAATTAGTGGGAATAGATTTGGATTCAGAAATTTCCATGTGCTCTAACCTTTATCTTTTTTGTTTGGTTGGTTTTCAGTTCTCCACCTATTTTCCTGGTTACTTTGATGGTCAGTATTGGCTTTGGTGGGTCTTCCTTGTACTAGGTGAGTGTTTGCAGGGGAAGATGCTTAAAAACTCTGTAAGTGCAGTTAGGATTTTGTGAGCACAGCTTTCCTGGCTATTAAATATGTGTGTGTGTAGATGTACAGCTGAATTGTCACCCTCATACTCATCTTACTAAATGCCTTCAGGTTTTAAAGGCAAGTAAACACTGTCCTTCTGCTGCCATTTCTTGGTGGCAGCATCCTGATTACCATCCAGAAGAGGTAAAGAAAAGAACAGTGCTTGTAACTGATACTGTATCTGTTTTACACCTTAAATGGAAGCATAGGTTATTGTTTTCCTGGTTTTAATTTCTTTATCCTGCTTTGGGAGTGACTGGATCTCATTTGTAGTCAAAAATTTTGTGATTGCCCAAGGAAAGTTTGGTTTTGAAATTGCCTGAAATGGAAAGATTAGGTGTCATTGCTACCAACAATAATTAACTGTATGTAATCAGCTCTTGTGCATCCCAGGGATGAGGTCCCTCTGTACTAGTAATGGGGAGTTCAGCTGTTCCCTCTCTCACTGAAGAAGCAACACCTGTGTTAACTGGACCAATGTCTTTTCCCTCCAGGTTTTCTGCTGTTTCTCAGAGGATTTATTAATTATGCAAAGGTTAGGAAGATGCCAGACACTTTTTCCACTCTCCCCAGAACCAGAGTTCTCTTTATTTACTAAAGGTAAACTTTCTACTTTCCTATTCTGCTTTGTTTTTAACTCTATGTAGAAACATTTTTAGGCTAGACTTTTCTTTGCTTTAATATTTTTAGAACACAAGGCAGCAGGGAACAGTTGTTTCCTGGTATCCCATACCCAGCTCTTGTGTCTGTGACTTGATGGGGAGCAGAGGAATACTTGACATTTCTCCCTGAATTTTTACTGTGAGGAATTTTATGTTCATTTAATTCCATGACTAGATATTGCAAGAACAGTCTTGCCCCTTGGTATTGCACCGTGTTTGGCAAATGTGTCTTTCAGAATTAATCACATACTTGAAACACGTGGTGTGTCCTAAACATGAGGAAAGGTCACAAAATGTTGTTAGAGGGAGGTGCCAGTGCCTTTGGCTTTTGGCACAGAGAGAGCAATTTGTCTGAATTCTGCCTGCTGTTTGAAATTGCTGCCAAGTTCCCGAAGAAATTACACTCTTGCACATCTTTGCTCTCCAAAAAACCCTCCCACCTGAACACACTGTCCTGCCTGAGCATCTTTCAGAAACCTGAGTGCCTGCAAGTCTTTTGCTTTAATGCTGAACTTCAGCCTTGCTGCCTTAATGGGGCTTTAAAGGAGGAGGCTTAAGTAGCTGAACCCTTGTAGCATAATTTCCTGCTCACAGCAGATAATGGCCTGGCATTAACTGTCCCTCCCTGAGGGGAAGGAAATCCTGGAATAGGTTGCTTCCCAGCTGGGGAATGCAACACGATGCTCCCTTTAGAAATATGGTAATAATGCTCCCATTTCCCCAAGACAGAAGAAATTGCAGCTGGGCCTGTGGTATAAAGAAACCAAACCAACCCCCGCTTCAAATTGGGGGTCATTAAATTGTTCAGATTTTAAAACTGAGCCTTGATTTTCCAAATGCACTTTCCTTTTATTAGGAACTGCAAATTGCCTAAGATTCTGCTTCATTTCTAGTCTGTAAGGAGAACCTGCAGCACAAAACAGCCTTTGTGCAGTGTTTTCCACTGGTGATAGTGTGTAAAAATAGTTCAGTCAATTTATTTACGGGTTTGAGTTCTGTTTAACAAAGTTCTGGTTTATGACCTCCTCCAGGATTTGTAATATCCTCTCTGATTCCTGCTGAGTCACCAGAGGGTTTATTTGCCCCAGTTGTATGGTCACGTAGTGTGAGCGTTTAAAATCAGCTTTATCATGTGTAGTTTGCCTCACTGAACATATTTTTTTAAGTTTTGCTTCTTTACCAAAACTTTATTTTCCATTTATTGAGGGAACTGTGTGATTTCTTGTTGCACAGACTTTTCCTGTGTTTGGAATTTGAAATTACAATTTTAGAGACCGTGCTTCACTCCTTTTTGTGAGGATGGAGGTGTAAAGTGTTTAAATTCTTATTTATGTGTCATTTTAGAGCTTTCAAAAAGCACTTTCTCCTTTCGATATACTGAGATAAATGTCCAGAATAATTAATAAATATTACAATTTTGGCAATTCCCCTGAAAATAAATCTTTAATCCTAAATTCTGAGTGAGGAAACTGCAAAAGACTTGGATTTTTAGTGTATTCTTGTTCTGAAGATGAGATTTCTTCCGCAGGGCATGATGAGAAGGGCATGGTGGATGAGCATTTTAATGTTAGAGCAGGAATCATTTTTAGAAAATTAGGAGGGGAGTAATTAGTGCAAACCATAAAATAGAACCTGGTGAAATGAATCCGATGGAAAGCTGGTGTTCACTATTCCACCTGTGTGTGCAATAATGGACATGATCCTGACATTATCCCATAAAATATGCACAAACTCCTGAGCACTTTGCTGGAGTCATGCCATTGTGTGCTGAGATACTTCATAAGTCTTTAGACATCCTGTGCTCTGTGTGAACGACATCCGTCTGTTTTCCAAAATAACACTCTGACTATAGTTTCGGTGTTCAATATCCTTCTCCGACAGATGTTTTCTGGCAAATGTCTTCCTGCATTAGTGAATTCCCCCCCAAGAAGCAGCAGGACACCTGCAGGAAGTGAATCAAGGCTCTGGAGCAGAAGAAAAAATAATCACCTGCTTTAAAATAAATAAATAAAAGTACTGTTGGAAAAAGAAAAAAGGAGAAGCATTTCTTTCTATTTGTTTTTAGGTGTACAATTTTAATAATTAACGCAGAATTCTGTAATTGTTGAATCATTAGTGGCTAATGTTTGAAACAGCTATTGCAGTCGAGTCTGTGACGTGCTAATAAAGCCTTACAGCGATAGTTTGTTGTGATTTGGTAGCATGAGCCGTCCCCGGAGCCAGCAGGGGCCAGGCTTGCTTTATTTCCTCCTCCAGCCTGGGAGCTGCTTGGGCTCTGTGTGTGCTGTACAGCCCATGTATGCTGTGTGCCACATCCTGTACAGCCTGTGTGCACTGCATCCTGTACAGCCTGTGTAACACTGCGTCCTGTACAGCCTGTGTAACACTGTGTCCTGTACAGCCTGTGTGCACTGCATCCTGTACAGCCTGTGTAACACTGTGTCCTGTACAGCCTGTGTGCACTGCATCCTGTACAGCCTGTGTAACACCGTGTCCTGTACAGCCTGTGTAACACTGTGTCCTGTACAGCCTGTGTAACACTGCATCCTGTACAGCCTGTGTAACACCACAGCCTGTGTAACACCACGTCCTGCACAGCCTGTGTAATAGTCTCCTATACAGCCTGTGTAACATCACATCCTGTACAGCCCCATGTACACCGTGTCCTGTACAGACTGTGTCACGCCGTGTCCTTTACAGCCCATGTACAGTGTCCTGTGTAACACTGTGTCCTGTACAATCCAGTTATGCCACAGCCCGTACAGCCCGTGTACACCATGTCCTGTACAGCCTGTGTGCTCTGTGTCCTGCACAGCCCCTGGTGCCATGTGCTGTACAGCCTGTGTGCACCGTATCCTCTACAGCCCATGTACACCATGTCCTGTACAGCCTGTGTGCTCTGTGTCCTGTACAGCCTGTGTGACACCATGTCCTGTACAGCCCATGTGCTCTGTGTCCTGTGCAGTCCCGTTATGCCACAGCCTGTACAGGCCGTGTGTGCCATGTCCTGTACAACCCACGCAAGGCCATGTCCTGTACAGCCCACGTACACTGTGTCCTGTACATCCTCTGTATGCAGTGTCCTGTACAGCCACATAACACCATGTGCTGTACAGCCCGTGTACCACCACATCCTGTACAGCCTGTGTGCGCAGTGTCCTGTCCTGTCCAGCCCGTGTACCCTGCATACACCCTGCCTGTCCAGCCCGTGTACACCATGTCTGTACAGCCCCCACACAGCAGGTCCTGTCCAGCCCGCATCCACCCTGTCCTGTCCAGTCCTGTCCTGTCCAGCCGTGCGCGCCGGCAGCGAAGGGATGATCTCAAAAGCTGAAGCGACAGCACCACGGTGGCTGCACACCTGCCATCCAGCAGCACCTGTGCTGCCCTTGGAGGAAAAGGCGTCGCTGTGGTCCAGGTTCCAAGGTGTCAGAGGAGGGAGGATTACTTAGAGGTGGCACAAGTATTAATTTTTAACAGTGTATATTCTCGGTGTTGTCCTAAACTTTCCTTTCGCACTACCTACTTTTTTGGGCTATCCGGGGGTTTTCATGGAACACTTCGGTAGTGTAAAACTGAAAGATCACATTGCAACTTTGTATAGAAAATTACCTTGCAAAGCAAAGGCCTTTTTTTTTCCTTTGGCTTGGGACTTTTGAGACAATTCCTAACATACCTGTAATTCCTGCTTTTATAATTTGTGTTAGCAGAGACTGATGCGTCGGAAATGTAGATTTAATGTGCACTCCTGTGCTTTCTGCCAAGTGGTAATTCACTTTGGAATTTTACTATGTTCAACCTGTAAATACAGCAGAACGTTAATAAATGTCACTTCTGTAGCAATTTTTGCTGTAGGACAGTGTTTAATTGACTTTTGATTCGTTATTGTACCTGGTTATTGATGACAAGTGCAGATTATCTGGGGGAATTCCATCACTTTTCCACAGGACACTTCAATGTGTCCATTTTCTTTTTTGTAACCAAGCAATGCCAGCCTCTCAGGAAATGGTAACTCAATTGTGGGGGGTTTCTTGGATTTTTTGGTAGTTTCATGACTTACCTGCCTTGTGAAACTGTGGTTTTGGTTCACATCTCAAATGCACAGTCCCCACAAACAAGCAGTTGGGGCTGACAGAGACAGATGCAGGTTCCACAGATTTCTCTTCAAACAGGGGTAAGTGAATACAGAATTAGGAATTTTATCCTGCAAGGCAAAATCTGCAGCATTGGGGAACTCTGAATCACATTTGCCCAAACTTGGTCGATCAGCCTTGTGTTTGCTCTCCTGGCATCTGGGCCTTATTTGGACTTGTATATTCAGAGAACTGGAATATTTGGCATTCCTGTTTCTCCTCCTTCGGTGGCCTGAAGCTGCAGACACCTACAGCTCCGTGTTCCTCCGCAGACAGCGGTTCTGGGAGCACCTGGAGGGATGGTGGGTGGCGGGGTCTGGAGAAGCCACGTTTGGTTTGGGGTGTGTTGCCACCAACTCCAAACTCAAGTAGTTATTTTGGGTCTGTGACAGCTCAGCCACTTTACATGACCTACATGGCAGGTCTGTGGTCACCTGCAGTGACCATGCCTTTGGCCTTCTTGCTGGCACCTTGTCAGCCAGGTGGGGGGATGGAGGCTTTGAGGGCAGACACACCTGTGGAGTGTCTGTGCCATGGTGGGAAGAGAGCTCAGACAGTCACGAGGCTATTGACAAGGCCCTGGAGTGACAGGAAAAGGGGGAATTGCTTTAAATTGACAGAGGACAGATGGGATATTGGGTAGAAATTCTTCCCTGTGAGGGTGGTGAGGCCCTGGCACAGATTGCCCAGAGAAGCTGTGGCTGCCCCATCCCTGGAAGTGTTCAAGGCCAGTTGGACGGGGCTTGGAGCAACCTGGGATAGTGGAAGGTGTCCCTGCAGGGGTTTGAAACTGGATGAGCTTTAAGGTCATTTCCAAGCCAAATCAGTAGGAAGCACATCTTGAGATCTTATTTCCAGTTCCCATGAAAGAAGAAAAAGGAACCCAAGGGGAGAAGGCTCAGCTAAAGGGAGAACAGCATGTGCTGGAGGAAATCAAATGTGCCTATGGAGAAGGTAGGAGCACCACAGAGGAAAGGAGTGGGATCTGCCCATTGTTGGTGCTCTTCTGCCTGTTCCAGTGGGAGCTCCAGTGGAAAGATCGGTGCTAATTGTCCAGGTCATCCATGTGAAAGAGAGGATTACGCTGAGAAATAAAACCAGTCCATGGGAGACTTCCCAGTTACTTAAAACAGATGTTTCCCCCTCTCCTCTTGCTCTAGCTAATACAGTTATATTTCCAAGAAGTTGATAAATATTGCTGGATTTAGGAATGATTTCTCTAAACCGTTAGGCTTTACTGCAGAAGTCGTTTCTCACAAAAGAAACGCTCCAATGAATTAAACACTTTGTGCCTTGGCCACACAAAGCCAAGGATTGACTCATGTTCAGTGGCTTCATTAGTGGAAATGATTCACGGGCTGGATTGCCGTGACCTCTCCTTGGGATTGGTGCACTCTGCTCCTCTCCCATCCATGTGATGGCCAAGGGGACAGCCGGAGATCCTGGAGCAGGGACTGGTGGGAAACACCTGAGAGGGCCAGAAAACATAACTCAGTCAGAAGCTCAGCCCATGCCGGGGGGGGGCTGTGGGAATCGGTGCCGTCTTTTTATGTTATGGAGTTAAGTTTTCATAGTACCTACTGTTGTTTTCATTGCCTCATGTTTAAAAGATGGCATTGCTTTCATGGAAAGGAAAGAGAAACAAATGTGTTTGAAAATACATACAATATTCCAAAACCAGTAGCAGTTGGATTAAGGAACCTATTTAAAAACTCCTTGAACATGGAATATTTACAAGGGCTGTTTTAGTGGTGATACCTGTTATTAATTAAATAAAACACAACACAGTAGGTACTGGCAGGGTTGTTGTGCTCCCCCCAGGTCCTCTGAATGCCCAAATCCATTCATTGCTCCAACTGGTTGCTCAGCTGGGCTGTCACCCCATCCCATTTCAGCTCAGGATGGAGATGCTGTGCTGATCAGGATGAGGATTTCCATTCTGCCTTTTTTTTCTGAAATTTTTGTGGAATAAACAAAAGCCCATCAGGGAAGGGCTTAGTCATCATACGTAACAAATCGATCACAGAATGTATCCTAGAAACTGATTTCGAATCATAGGACTTACATGGACACAAGCCCCATTTTGCTAAACTTAAAATATGTTAATAAAACATCATAGCAATGGATATAATAATAAAGCAAAAGGCAAGGATCTCTGCCCAGCCTCTGGAGTGTAAGGAAAGGTCCGTGCCAGGAATCAAAGTGCACCATGTCCCAGGGAGTGAAACACAGTCCATGTCCCAGGGCCAAGTGCAGTGAAGTTCAACAGTGCTGTGGACTTGCTTTTTAAAAAAAATGACTTAATAGAAGCTATGCCAAGTAGGAAATCGGTGTTTCCAAAATATCCATCACCTCTCAGTGAGCTCTAATGGGCCACTGAACTGTAACCTCAGGTGTTTTTCACTGGAGCAACCTGGGCACCAGGAGATGGTCCTTGGAGGTGGTGTGAGGTGGTGGGTGAGGGCAGTGTGACTCCTGCCTGTGGGCATCGTCCTGGAGCAGTGTCACTGCTGGGTCTGGAGGCAACACTAGGGGCTTGGTGGGCTAAAATGCCCCACACCACAGTCACACAGCACATGGACAAAGTAGGTGGCAGATTGGAGAACAATGGGAAGAAAAACCCATCTTTGACCAGATTTTGTGTTTGTTTTTGTTGTTGCTTTAACCGAAGTGGCCGGAGCGCGGTAATTAAAGGCTCAGTGGCTCTAATTGGAATAGGTTTAAACTCGAGGTCAAAATCCCTTCTGGCACTTCCTCTGCCTAATAACCATCAACAGAAATCAAACAAATCCAACCGGCTCCAGCCCCTAATCTGTGACCAGCAAAGGTCGCGGTGGTGATAAGGGAGTGCGGGAGCCACAGACAGCCCTGAGTGGGAATACGGTCCCATGGGCCCAACAGCCAGTGCTGAGGGACAACAGGGACACAATGGGCACGTGTTGGTGCTGGGGGATGACTGATGGTGGGGCAATTCCTGGCTGCGGGTGGTGGGTTGTCACTGGTGGGGATGGAGGGAGGATGGGACATCTTGCGCATGAGCGAGTGATGCTGGTGCAGCCTGTGGGACGGGTGCTCAGCATCACAATTGCACCAAAATGCCCGTTTTCTTTGAGCAGATGAAGGCACCGAGGCTGTGATGGGGGTTGGAGAAGGAGCTTTTAACAACCCAGTGCCGATTCCTGGGCGCCCGGCGGGTGTTGTGCCCCCCAGCCCACCCACCGCTGCTGCTTCCTGCCACCGCCGGAGGTCACTGCCCCCGCCAGGTCGCCACTTTAACTGCTTTGCTAATTATGCCCTAAGCTGGACCTTTAAAGTGATCTGGGAGGAGGAAAAAAAAAAAAGAAAAAAGGAAAGCAAAGGGGCTGCAGATGTGCAACAGCCCCGGGATGCAGCGGGTGTGGGGCCGTCCCTCCCTGCCACAGGCTGCCTGTCTTTGTTGCAATGCCTCCGGTGACTTTTGCCTACAGATTGTGCCAGTTTAGTATTTTTGGGATCTTTGTTCCTGCTCCTCTCTGCCATCCCGCTCTCACACGTTGTACCGATTCGAGGGGTCTGGGTGGGTTACTGCTGTGCCCTGGGTTTCATTCGGAGGGTTTGTTTCCAAGCCCTTGTGCTGTGGCTGGAATTTGGGGCTGCCCCGAGATTGCCGCAGTGGTCATTTGGCAAACACTCCTGCATGGGATGGACACACCAGGTCCTGGGCTGGCAGTGAGGCAGCTGCTGCCCCAGCTGCTCCATCGGGGTTGTGACATGTGGCTCCCCCAGTGCAGCATCATCCTGTCCCAAAACAGCTGATCCTGCAGTGGGTGTCAGGGGATGGAGGAGCTGAGGGTGCCCTCCCGCTGCCTCTTTGAGGGAGGCTCTGGTGCCAAAAGGAGAACAGTGTGGTGCAGGGGCTGGTGGGCAGCTGCAGATGTGACTCCTGCCACTGGCTTTGACACTTCCAATGGGAACATGGAGCAGCTAAAAATTCATAGAATCACAGAATGATTTGGGTTGGAAGGGACGTTAAAGCTCATCTCATTCCACCCCCTGCCATGGGCAGGGACACCTTCCACTAGACCAGGCTGTTCCAAGCCGCGTCCAACCTCCCTTGAACACTTCCAGGGATGGGATGAAAATGGAAACAGTGTAAGAGTGGTGCTGCCACATGAGGCCATGCAGTGCCATGGGAGACTGTGCCATGCTGCAGGATGCTGTGCCGTGCCGTGCCGTGCCGTGCCGTGCCGTGCCGTGCCGTGCCGTGCCCTGCCCTGCCCTGCCCTGCCCTGCCCTGCCCTGCCATACCATGCCCTGCCATGCTGCAGGATGCCCTATGAGGCCATGCTGTGTCACAGCTGAAAGGCATCAGCTGCAGCCACTGCACCTGAGCCCCACAGTGCTGCCAGGGCAGCAGCTCTGGCGGGAGCCTGTGGGCAGGTGTGATGTATCTGCAATCACCCCTCCCACAGGAGTGTTCAAAAGCCCTGGCCACAGCTGGGTGTTGTTTGTTCTGGGGCTTCTGTGCTTGCAACAGGTCATGGAAGCCTTACCTGGGGGAAAACCGTCTCCTCTACATCCTGCTCCGGGACCCCAAATAAGCTGAAACCTGCATCAGTACCATCCTTTGCCATGGGATGTGCTCCTGGTTTGTGTAAGGACATGCCTGAGTTACTGCTTGATTTCTGCACCTCGCACAGAGGTAAGTGGGAGCAGCACAAAATTCTCTAG